TCATCCACCCCCAATTTCCTATACAAGTATATTGCTTTTCAGCTATACTCTCAGTCTCAATCAAATCAATGTGTGCAGTGAATAAGTCTCAACTGATGTCGGGAAATTTTGTAGATAAATTATAAGGTCAATGAAAATTTTTTAAATGGATATTTATAATTCAATTTATTTGCCATTAGTAATATATTTAAAAGATATTTAAGCCAGCATCTGAACTGTTGACCCTGGAGGTGGCAAGGGGGTTGCTCTATGCCCATTGTGTTCGCGCCATAAAAAGCTTATAAAAAAGCATATTATTTCATAAATTTTTCGTGTTATGTAAATTTTACTTTTAGATTATCTAGTAATCCACTTAATGGTCGAATTACAAATATTCATACATTAAACGAGTTAATAAGGAAATCTCTAAGTAAAATTTCCAAGAAAATTTATGAATACCATATGTTTATTTTTAATTAAATGCTCCATCAATGACATATAATAATACCTTGACTGACGACGCATTCATAATAATGCAATTCGAAAGCGTCGTTGAATGCAAATCAGCTGGACCCGCCATTCTGGTAACCCATATGGTAATTATTCTCATGTTAAAAAACTACTATAAAATTGAAAACTTGCTTCCAGTGTTGTTAAACGCTACTTTTAAAAGTAACGCGCTATCGCTATCGCTATCGTTTTCAAATGAGTACCGCGCTATTAGCCACTTTTATACGCTATTTTGATTTTTTTTAAAAATTTTTTTACATAACTTTATTTCCACAAATAAAATATTGGTATAAAAACATGACTATAATTTCTACATATATATATATATAATTTATTTAATATTGCACTTTATAATAATAACATTTTGTACTGCCATCCCCAAGTCTAGAGCGACGATCAGAAAGTATAAGCTTTGCCATACTAAATAATCGTTCAGCACTAGCACTTGAGGGCAACGCAGTATTAAATTTAATAAACACACTTTTTATATGAAAAAAATCATCAAAGATATTTAAATGAGTATTTTTAGATTTAAAAAAATAAGCTAGAATCGTCTATGGAAGGCTATAGCCTATTTAACTTGAAACTAGGATGAACGATAGCAGTTATTACATTATCATCATCATACAGATCTGGAAATCTAATTTATATAAAGCGATTGTATTAATTATAAAATAAAAAAAATACCTATTTAATTTTCAAAATTTAAATTTATCTGAGATTTAGATTCATTTATAAAAAAATATTAAAATAGCATTAAATTATGGTAGATAAAGATTTTAAAAATATAATTGTTATACACAAGGTAATTAATAATATATTAATTTTGAATTTTGTATTAATATTATAGATTGAGTTGTAAATTAAGCCAATTTAAATTATGGCTAATCAAGCAATAAATCATTCATTTTATATAATTGTATAATAGAAAATAAAAATAAAGTTTTGACCTTTTCTTAATGCCTTTTAGCATAGACTCTACCAGTGGTTGGCAAAATTTTTTTGCATCAAAACCGATATCCAGTAGTAATTTTTTCTTCAAGATTAAAGTATTTTTTGAATTTTGGGAAAGGATAATCTATATTTTTCTCATTTTTCAAAGAAATTTCGCTATCTTCAACAATCTCACACATTTTTAATAACTAGATTTATAATGCCAACTAGATTTATAATGTATATTTTTAAATATAAATTTAAATTTCAAAATTAAATAAAATAAAATAAAAGGATTATGATTTTTGATTTAATAAAAAATATATTTTAATAATTTCTAGATGTATTTATTATGTAAAATTGAAAGTAGCGAAGTAGCGCGTTACTTCGCTACTTTCTAAATTAGTAGCGAGCTACCGCTATCGCTACTTTCTAAAAAAAGTAGCCAGCTAAAGCTACCGCTACTGAAAAAAGTAGCGCGCAATTTTAACAACACTGCTTGCTTCCTTATTATCTCGATGATCAGGTGAATTATAGTTTGCGTCAGACATAGGAATAAAATGGTCTCTCGTTTAAAATTTTTAATAATGATATGGGTAACCAAAAATGGCGTAAAAACCGCGCCGACATTTTCGCAGCCATTTTTTTAATTTGAAAAATTTTTGATTTAATATAAAATAAATCTATTTCCGGCGTATATATAGTTCATAGTTCTTAACAGTGGACTTTCCAAAATCCTAATTTATAATCGATTTTTTTTATACAGATTTTTTTTCACCAATATTTTTAGTAATCAAAAGTTTAAGGCTAAATTTTCTTTCTTTCTTTCTTTCTTTCTTTCTTTCTTTCTTTCTTTCTTTCTTTCTTTCTTTCTTTCTTTCTTTCTTTCTTTCTTTCTTTCTTTCTTTCTTTCTTTCTTTCTTTCTTTCTTTCTTTCTTTCTTTCTTTCTTTCTCTTTCTTTCTATCTTTCTTTCTTTAAAAATCGTTCTCAGGTGGACCTAAAATTTAAATGATTTATGAATGCCAACTAGACCAATGTATTTGCCAAGCTTAAAATGTAGCGTTGTTAAACGGCTCAAGCCCGAATTTTAAAAACTGGTAACTCGAATACTTTAGCCCCCCCCCCAAAAAAAATAAATTGCCTTAACCTCGAAATTTTATTAATATATACCCTTAGAATGAATAAAATCTTCAGGACTTACTTAATATTGTTTCTGGATTATAATATTGAGTTGACCGTTTTTTTAATAATCGGTTAAAATCCGGCCGTTTAACAACATTGTCCTATACATTTGGTTATATTTATGTCCACAAACCTTTCGGTCATATATGAGCTAAATATCTAGGCTATGAAACGATATTACTCTTTAACAACACTGGGTAAATACGTTATTTTTCGAACTTTTAAATCATTTTTTTTTTGAGCGCGTTCTTTTTAAAACCTAGAATTTCTGATTTTACCGTAAAATTTATCGCAGCGTGCTTAGAATTACTTATACCTTATACCTAGGGATGAAAAACCGAACCCAAACCCTCTCGAACTCTAGATATTTCACTATTTAAAACGGCTAACTCAATAATTTCGCCAGAAAAAATATCGCCTAACCTCCGGAGATTTCGCTAAGATGTCCAAACCTTTATTCCTTCTACAAACAAAATCTTCAGACTTGCCTAATATTATTCTAGATGAAATATCTAGATAACCGTTTTTAAAAACCGGCTTAAAACGAGCCGCTTAATAACACTACCTACATCCTACCTTATATTTGTTTCATAGAACAATTTTGCCTGTTAGCTGTTTGAGTCATTTTATTATTTACATAAATTCTATATGTAAAAAAAACTTTTAAAAAATTTATATTAAGTTTAATGGTTTCTTGGAAGATTTCTGTAAAAAATCGTCTAATATATTAAGGTCAACCAAAACATACTGTATAGAATACATTTCAGGTAAAACCCAGGATAACGCGCTCATAAACATGAAATTCAAAAGTGGAAGAAAAATAAAGACACACATTGATTACTTAATATATATAATATTATAATAACTATATTTTAATTTTAGAATGTAATTTGTCATTCAAACCTTTATATTATTTATTTAATTAGATAATATAATATAATATTAAATATAATGTAAATATATAATTTAAAAAAAAATAGATACAAATTTTAGTTTTATTATCATTATCATTAATAAGGTATAAAAAACTTAAAACTGTCTCCTTGCTATTTATCGCGATCGTATGATTTTTAAACATAATTTTCTTTTTTCCTACCTTTCTCAACCTAAAAATTGAAATTTTTTGAAAAGGTGTAATTTTCATTGATTATAATTCTATTATTTTTTTAAAAAATAATATATTCATTTTTTGAGATAAGTCATAAATAACGTAATAAAAAAAATATTTTTAAAGAATTAAGAAAAATTTTGGCAAAGTTAAATTTATATAAAAATATTTTATTTTAATTAATTTTTTTGACCTTTTTTTTCTTTGAAATGTTTGCGTACGAAATAAATAAATTTTATTTTACATTTTAAGGGAACTGATAGGAAAAAAGAGGAAATTTTATATCTTTACTTTCTTTCTTACTTTCTTTCTTACTTTCTTTCTTTTCTTTCTTTCTTTCTTTCTTTCTTTCTTTCTTTCTTTCTTTCTTTCTTTCTTTCTTTTTCTTTCTTTCTTTCTTTCCTTCCTTCCTTCCTTTCCTTCTTTCTTTTTAGAAATAAAGAATGTCCCTTACTATTCATCCAGGAATTTCTAGACCCATCTTCCTATGGCAATGATGTTATTATCCCCTTACCATATTCTTTATTTAAATGACGATAGCGTCTTTATAACTACTCTAGACCCAGCCCCCTCTCCTTCAATTCGACTAATGATCTTGCGTCATAACCCCCCCCCCTTTACCCTCTCCTCTAGAAGAAGAAGATTTTGGCCCTAACAACATCTAAGGTATCCAGCATTGAATTGCTAACTTCACTTTCTCTAGAAGAAATTACATACTTATTAAAGGGACCTTCTGACGTATTTATGTCATTGGTTTTGTATTTTTTTTTATTTATATTAATCGTTTTATTTTGTCATTTTGTCATATTTTACGTATAAAAAAAAATTTCTTTTATGTAAATTTTTTAAAAGGTAAAGTTACCTAAAGTCCGGTTAAATTTTTACCTATATATATATACCTTCAAAATTATTTCTCTCTTGCACATCTTCCTTTTACTTAATAAATAATAATAATAATGATAATACAATATTTAATTTTTCAATAGGTATAAAAATTTTTATAAAAATCTAAAACCCTCAGCAGGTTTCTAAGTAATTAATTAATTTATTTTTACCTATTTATTAACAGAAATTCAATCATTGTGAAACATATTTTTAATGAAATTCTTTGCTTAAATTGGTTTCAGAGGAATAATTAATAATATATTAGATATGGTTTTTTTTACTACTTTTTTTGAAGGTCAATTAATTGTCAAAAAAATAATAAATAAATAAATATTTTAAAAAAAAAATATTTTTTTTCTAAAATTTATTTTATTTTTTAATATCTCATTTGAAAAAATAATTTGCAATAAAATTTAAAAAAATATCTTTAATAAACTAGGTATATGAATTGTTACAAACTCGATTATTATATTATAACGAGTTTAAATTTTAAGAAAAATTAAATCCAAAAAAATCAAATCGAAAAACAACAAATATTATACGATGTCTAAGCAATTTTCTAAGAATTTCAACTGGTACTAAATGGCAGTAAATTCAAATATTACAGTTAAATTTTTTTTATTTTTTTTTTAAAATTTTTATTTATTAAAAAATTTAAATTAAATTTATATTTATTAATATATACCTTGTAAAAAAAAAATGATTATATTATAAAATTAATAATATATATTAGTGATGATAAGCGGCCTAATTTTTTTGAGCCCAGCCCGCTCCCCCTGATCCGAACCTAATTTTTATAAGAGCGACTCGGAATAAAAATTATTTGTCCGCCTGGAAAGGCCCGAATTTATTAAAATTTAATAAAAATTTGTTTTTTTTTTTGCAAGAATCTTTTCTCTTCTCTTCTCTTCTCTTCTCTTCTCTTCTCTTCTCTTCTCTTCTCTTCTCTTCTCTTCTCTTCTCTTCTCTTCTCTTCTCTGAAAGAAAGAAAGAAAGAAAGAAAGAAAGAAAGAAAGAAAGAAAGAAAGAAAGAAAGAAAGAAAGAAAGAAAGAAAGAAAGAAAGAAAGAAAGAAAGAAAGAAAGAAAGAAAGAAAGAAAGAAAGAAAGAAAGAAAGAAAGAAAGAAAGAAAGAAAGAAAGAAAGAAAGAAAGAAAGAAAGAAAGAAAGAAAGAAAGAAAGAAAGAAAGAAAGAAAGAAAGAAAGAAAGAAAGAAAGAAAGAAAGAAAGAAAGAAAGAAAGAAAGAAAGAAAGAAAGAAAGAAAGAAAGAAAGAAAGAAAGAAAGAAAGAAAGAAAGAAAGAAAGAAAGAAAGAAAGAAAGAAAGAAAGAAAGGAAAGAAAGAAAGAAAGAAAGAAAGAAAGAAAGAAAGAAAGAAAGAAAGAAAGAAAGAAAGAAAGAAAGAAAGAAAGAAAGAAAGAAAGAAAGAAAGAAAGAAAGAAAGAAAGAAAGAAAGAAAGAAAGAAAGAAAGAAAGAAAGAAAGAAAGAAAGAAAGAAAGAAAGAAAGAAAGAAAGAAAGAAAGAAAGAAAGAAAGAAAGAAAGAAAGTATATCAAATTTATTTGACAAAAAATGTAATGATATCATATTTAAAAAATGTTAAGCCCGACCCAGCCCGTTTTTTTTTAAAAATAGACCCGTTTCCAGATCTTTAAATTATATGTCACCAGCAAATATACTCGAAATTCAGGGTTTTACTGGAATCTTAAACTTGTGAATCATTTATTACGCACACCACTTTTTTAATTATTTTTTTTTACAAGATTAGGCTTAACAGAAGTGTATTTATGGCGCATGGGCGTTACATGATATTTACTAGAGACCGTAGTCACGTGGGAGGTGGCTAAGGGTCAGGCCCCCCTTAAATATTTTTGGTTCTCGTATTTTGAGAAATTTATATTTAATTAATTAAATTTTAATTTTCAACCATTAAAACGGATTATAATCAAAATGAAAATTACAACAAATATTATTTGTTGTGAGGAAAATCATTAATTTACAAATGTCTTTCTGCTTAAAACATTTCCAATTGTACTTTATTTAAAGCAATTTTAATGATTTAAATATTAATTCATCTAATATAATAAGCCTTGCATATGACGGGCAAACGTCATGTCTGGCCGAAATGGAGGAGTACAAACCCGGCTTCAAAAAAAAAATTAATAAAAAAAGGTCAAAGTAGCATCTTGTTGTTCAAATTTGGTATAATAATATTGTTATCATTTTCAAATTTTTTAAAATTTATCTAAATGCAATTGTATAATATTTTTTAAAAGCGTTTCAACGTATATCCTGTAAATATAGAGGGCATACTCTTAAAGGGACGTTTAGACCAGAGGTGGACTGGTCATTTAGATACATTACTTATCATTTATTCGAATTTTGAGGCTATTGGTGAAATAGAACTCTTAACTTGGAGGTTTCCACACATGATTCAGTCGAAGCTTCTGGTCTTTTATCTCAATGCGTTAAATATAAAATACATTATAATGGGCCATTTCAATTTGTGAAATATTAGTAACAATGTATCTACCAGATAAGTACTCACTGATGCTAAAAATTGTATTGATTTCACAATCAATATATTTTTAAAAAAATTAAAGAAGCGATAATTCTGTTGATTTGATAAGAATTAAGGCAGAAACTTTTAACAAAATTTAATTCTCATTCCTCCAAAAATCATCGAGGGTACGTAAAACGCCTACAAATCTTTTAAGATTTTTTAACGGAAAAACCCAATTGCGATTTGATTGTGAAAAAGGACTTATATTGGGGTTCTTTATAAAAAATAAGAGAACTATTATGAAATTATTGATATTCTCTTCTCTTCTCTTCTCTTCTCTTCTTCTTCTCTTTCTCTTCTCTTCTCTCTTCTCTCTTCTCTTCTCTTCTCCTTCTTCTCTTCTCTTTCTTTCTTTCTTTCTTTCTTTCTTTCTTTCTTTCTTTCTTTCTTTCTTTCTTTCTATCTTTCTGTAGATCGTTTTTTCAGATTATCAGATAAAATGATCCCCCATCAAATCATTATCTAATTTAAATATGGAAACCTTACATTCATGGAAATGAAAAATAGCAAAAGGATTGTTAGCCGAAGAAGTTAAAGAAACATAATTTTGAAAATATCGTAAATATTATGTAAGAATTGTATACATGCTAATTCAGGCGGCCATCATCTTGCATCAACGGCTTTTTTTGAGACCTCATTTCTCTACACTGAAGAGAGTTCTATCGATCACTAGAGATTCTACGAAAGTTCGACTTAAACAAAATTCAGTATTAATGGCTTTATGACAAAAAAAAATACAGAATTTAGCATTTATTTCATTTATGCTTTAAAATTAATTTTAAAATTTAAAAATCGTTTGTTTACAAATTTTTTAATAAAAAAATATATCAAAATTTTTCTATGAGTGGGCCTAAATATTTATTTTATTTCTATATATTGACCCCCCCCCTCCGGTTCTCCAGCTGGAAATTCCTGGCTAGGGGCACTGTAATTACTCCATAAAATTTAAGACAATTTCATGATGGATGGATAAGATCCGTAAAGAGTTACAATTCGGGGAAGAAATAAGGTTGGTTCCTAATGATCTATAAATAATTTTAAAAATTGCTAGATTCCCGGTTCCTGGAAATCTTAGTACACACACCCTATACAAAATATCTATTTCTTTGTTTATTTTTTTCAAAGAAAACTGATGCAAGCTCGCATGAGAATGGTAAAGATTGGGCGACAAAGAATGGCGGTAGCGTACCACAAAGTTCGTGTCGTTTAACGGGTGGGAATGACAAAAACGCGGTCACGTTATTGAACGATAATGCCCTGGCGTGCCCAACCTTTCACGAATCCGTATCGCGAAAGAGATTCGAAGCGTATGTAAACGGCTTAATCGAACCCCATTATTGGAAGGGGATACTCTATCCCGGGTTGTATTTCAAACCGCAAGTATTCGTTGATTTGCAAAATTATCCGTTCCAACCGGACGACATCGTCATAGCGACCTATCCTAAATCTGGTTTTAAAAAAAAATTTTTCTGAGATATTATTAGATTAGGAGTGAAGAGAAGGAGGGGCGGGGGGTGTAGGTGTTTAAAAAAAACAAATTATATAAAATGATCTGCATCGGATTTAATTTTTCAAGCCCGACCCGGCCCGGTTTTACCCGATCCGGCCTAAACCCGGAATTTTTTTACATTAATTTTGCCGGCCTGGCTTGAAATTATTTAAACATAGAAATTAATTTTTATAATTACTCAAAATAAACGATATATGTTATATGGCGTCTACTTTCTATAAAATAAAATCGTATATATTTATTTTATAATAAAAAATTGTAGATATTTTATTGTAATTTAACAATAATATTTATTATTATAATAGTGATAAAATATAATTATAAAATTCCGAAATATCTTTTATAAAAAATATTTATATCACATTTTATAAATCTTTAGTTAATAACTATCTCAAAGAAATATAGTACATACTTCGGAAAAAATATATATATATATATATATATATTAAAACATAAATGTTTAATTATAACGAAAAAATATTTTTTTTTTGTGGTTAAAATCTAAATATAGTTGCGATGCAAAATCTATATAAAATTAACAATGACTATATTTGATAAACTAGGAGGGAAATGGGAGTGTTTCGAAGAAACAATTTGTAGTTAATATTTTTTATAAAAGATATTTCGGAATTTGTAATTATATTTTATCACTTATTATAATAATAAATATTATTGTTAAATTACAATAAAATATCTACATTTTGAAAAAAAAATAAAAAATTTAACATAAAATTGATAAATATGGATAAAATTTTAAAAAAAATCTAAGACCCGACCCGACCCGGCCCAAATTTTCTTAAGAAAATATCCGGTCCGATCCGGCCCGAAGCCGGTTTGGGCCGGATCGGGCCTACTTTCGCAGATCTTCAATATAAAACATGTTTGTTTTTTTTTTCAAACTTAAAAAAAAAATTTTTAAAGATATATTTAGATTAGGAGAGGAGAAGGGGAGGTGGTGTTTAAAAAAAAAACAAATTATAAAAAAAGAAAAATTATTTTTAATAAATTTTTTTGTTTTATTTAACGCCTGTATTACAAATATGTTAGTGTCAGCGTGTTTTTTTTCCGCCAATGAGTTATTTTACAACCTTAAGTCATTTTTCGAAGCGCGATTATTTTTAAAGTATAAAAAATCTGATTTTTTACCGGAAACGTATTCCGTCACGTTTAGAACTACCTACCCTACGAATTGTTGATAATTTTACCGATATCCTTTGAGTCATTTATCATTTATGTTTAAAAATCTATGGGACTAAAAAACGAATATAAATTATGTTGACCTCAAAAGTTCATAGCAAAATTGTCTACGTAGGATAGGTATTCCAAACATGACACAATACATTTCTGGTTAGAATCAGATTTCTTAAATTGTAAAATGAAAAGGAAAGAAGAGAAAGAAGAGAAAGAGAAAAGAAAGGAAAGGAAAGAAAGAAAGAAAGAAAGAAAGAGAGAGAGAAAGAAATGCAGTTGCTGCTAACATAATATATAATATTTACATAAACATAAAAAAAAAAATTATAGGAACAACCTGGACCGCCGAAATCGTGTCGCTATTGATGCACCAAGCCGACGAGTCGTACGCCAAGAGCCTAGACATATCTGAGAGAGTCACTCACCTCGAAGCGCCACCCGGGTTGAGCGTCAAAAATTTGAATTCGATACAAAAACCCAGGATCTTTCAAACCCATTTCCAACATACATACTTACCCCCGGCCATAATGAATTCCCGATGCAAGGTTGGACCCGTTAAGATCGGGATTTTAATATCTTCCTCCACTCCCCCCCCCTCATCTCCGATTCGGATTTTTGCCATTTAATATCTCCTCACCGGAAAAATATTTTGATCGATTTATTCGGCCCGGAACGAAACCCTTTTATCACGTGCTTGGGGCTTTCGAGCCCATCTTGGCCCATGTCCAAATGTTTGTATTCATAGGCCTTATAAAAAAAAATATTAACCGAAAAAAATTAAGATCATTTTATCTCTTCTTTCTCTTCTTTCTTTTCTATCCTTTCTTTCTTTCTTTCTTTCTTTCTTTCTTTCTTTCTTTCTTTCTTTCTTTCTTTCTTTCTTTCTTTCTTTCTTTCTTTCTTTCTTTCTTTCTTTCTTTCTTTCTTTCTTTCTTTCTTAGAGAAGAAAAGATATATTTTTCTTGATGGGCAGCTAGATGAGTATTATCCATTACAGAAATATAGTCGGACGCTGGTCTTTTTTCAAAATTTTAAAGATTGCTTTCTACCTATATATTATATGTTACGTATTCGTTTTTGAAACTTTCTATTTTAGATTATATATGTTCTGAGGAATCCGAAAGATGTGGCCGTGTCTTTCTTTCACCATCATAGGATGGCTAAGGATCTTGGAAATTTTGACAAAGATTTTAAACACTTCCTGAGTTTGTTCCTAGAAGGAAGAGGTAATATATATACATATTATTATAATACGCTTTATTTTTTATTTTGCCGCGAATATTTAAAAAAAACGCCAATAGTCGTGTGCGGATCTTGGTTTAATCACGTGAAGACGTATTGGAAGAGAAGGGATGATTCCAATTTATTAATCGTACGTTACGAAGACATGAAAAATGTATATTTTAACTTTATTTAATTTTTTTAATAAAATGGGGGGAAAAAAACCTTTGTTTTTTTTTGCTGTTTTTTTTTAAAAAGACCTTAAAAAATCATATATAATTTATCTGAGTATTTTCTTGGATTTTTAATCACATATTTATAATTTGTGGATAAATTTAATTGATAATTTATTTTATTTTAAAAAAAAATCCAATTTTTTTTATAAAGAATTTGTTTTAAATTTATGAGTTTTCTGAAATGAATTTTTAAGTGTGCTTTGTTTTCTATTTTTTTTGATTTTTAATCACATATTTATAATTTGTAGACTACCTATATGTTCACTTCGTTCGTTTCATTCGTTTCACTTTATACGGAATTAGGAGAATAGTTATTCTTTAATCACATGGATATTATATATGTTGTAGGACCAAGTTATAATTTATTAATTGATAAATTTTATTTTATTTTAAAAAAAATCCAATTTTTTTTATAAAGAATTTGTTTTAAATTTATGAGAGTCTTCTCGAAATGAATTTTTTAAGTGTGTTTTGTTTTCTATTTTTTTTTTGTTCTGTTTTTTTCTGCGTATTTATTTTAATAAATTTAAATTATTTTTAAAAAAAAATATATATATATGTTAGAATTTAAGCCAAACCTTAATGAATATTAGCAAATTTTTGGGAATATCGCTCAGCGACGCTCAAATTATGGAAGTGAATAACTTGTGCACGTTCGATAAAATGAAAGAGAACGAAAGGGTGAATAGAAATTGGGTTCCCTCGTTCGATACAACCAAAAGCACATTCATAAGAAAAGGTTGAAAAGATGATTGGATCCGTGGGGATTCGGAATCTCTCAATTTTTTAAATCAATTACTACGGGCTTATTTTTTGGATCTTAAAAATCTGATTTTTACAAGGAATTGTATTCCAGCATGTGTAAGAGTATTTACCCTATAAATTTCAGCCAATTTCAACGATACACATTTTAGTATTTTTAGAATTAGTTCTAAGGTTCATGGCGAAATTGTTTGAAATTTAGAAGTTTCTCGGGTATTCTACCCATGCTAGGATGCATTTCCGGTCAAATAGAACTTTAAATTTTTTTGTGAAATCGCTCTTAGTAAATGATTTAAAATCAAGAGATTCCGAATCCGCATACGACATACATATATATATGTTAGCGTCAAATGTGTTTGTTTTTTTTTCGGCAATGCGTTTTTTTTTTTTAAAACTTTAAATCATGCGTTTTTTTTTAAATTTAAATATCTGATTTTACCGATTTTTTAAAAAAAATGGCTAAACTCAATATTTTATCCAGAAAAAAAAAATTTGCCTAAATCTTGAGATTTCGTTAGTAGATGTCCAAACCTCTGCTGCGCCATCTTTTGAACAAAGTCTTCAGGGGGCTACTGAATCTTTTTTTTCTGAATTTACTGAATTTGTCGTTTTTGTCGTTTAAAATGGACTCAAAATGGAACGATTTTGCATCACTAAATAGCCATTATGTGATACGATAAGCTTCAAGCTTTTTTTAAATATAGAAATCCTATTATAAATAATTATATGAAACATTTTAAAAATTAAGTATGAGTATATTTAAAAATTTTAAATTAGGAATCATTGGAGATTGGAAGAACCATTTTAGTCAAGAAGACGATCACATTTTCGATGCGATATATCAACTTAAAATGAAGGAAATCTCCGATCTAAAATTTATTTACGAATAAAATAAATCATTATAAGCTTTGAGACATGTGTATATATATATATATCGACAAACAGTGCCCGTAGCTAATTTATTTTCTAATGGTCCAATGAAACCCTCCCCGTCCCATATTGACCCCACCGCGGTGTCACCGTTTACTTAAAAGGACACTTTCCTGGCTACGGGACTATCTAAAACAAATAAATTGTAAATAAACGAAGAAAAAAAAATTTAAACAACATTACAATGCAAAATTTGTCGCTTGAAGAATTAGATTATTCTATCTCCACTTTTTTTTTTGTTGTAATTATACTAGGGGAGATCAATTTAAAAATAATAATTAAGTTTTCTACTCTTTTCAATAATATCGTTAACCTTGTAATATAGGATTTAATTTAAGTTATTTTTTATAAATATTTTTTTGATTTTTTTTTTGATGTATAAAATTGATTTATTTTTAAAAAAATCATTTTTTTACAAAAAAGGTAACGAATCATAGATTAATTTGATTTATATATAAAAAAAATCTAGTCATTTTTTTTTTACTATTTTTCTTCTAATGCCTTATGATCGAAAAATATAATACCTCCAAAAAATAAATATACCCCCAAATAAATTGTTGTTACACCCCCCCCTCCCCTCCCCACTACAACTGACACTACCTGACATTAAATTGTAAAACAAAAAAAAACAATTAAAAACATTTGTATAATGCAATTATAGATATATATTTTTTAAAAAAATCTAGTCATTTTTTAACTATTTTTTTCTTCTTTATGGCTTATAAGGAAAAAAAACAAACAATTCCTACAGAAAAATACCCCAAATAAAATTATTTCACCCCCCCCCCAATTCTTCAACTGACGCACTACCTGAATACGAGATTGTTAACAATATTAATTGTAAAAAAAAACAAAAAAAACAAAAAAAACAATTAAAAAAACATATGTAAATTCAATTTATAGATTCAATTTTGATTTTATATATTTATTTATATACAAACATATATTATTTAAAAAAGATCTAGTCATTTATATTTATTTACGGGAAATTAATTATATTCATTTATCTACTCCAAACTTACACAATTTAATGTTGATTGTTTGATTTGAAAGAATAGAAATAAATGAAGCTTATTCTATATTTTAGAAAATATAGTCGTAACTTATTATTTATCTAAGATGTAGACCAACCCTATCTGATCTGCTAATCTTATAATGTAAGTAGTTAGAGTTATATTTCAAAATGGGGTATAAACCATGGATCTCTGTGTTCTGGGTCCGTGCTGAGAGCTGGTTTAGTCCATTTTTCTAGACCCAAACCTCGGGTCTGGGTTTTAAACAACCAACCAATTTTAACAACACTATAATAACATAAGTTACTTTTAAAAATCGTAAAGATTTACAATTTTTTTAAATCAAAGGTATTTTAAAAGAAAATTCACCATTTATTTTTATATAAAAATATAATTACGAACTGGAATAAAAAAATAATACGGAGATTTAGCACCAAAATAAAATTTATAATTTGTGATTAGTAAATTTGCTCTTTAGCCATAAATTTATTTGTTCAAAGGACGTGCTCGTATCTCATCGAAAAATAAGCCTCCCTAGACTGAGAAAACGTTCTTCGGGAGTAGTCAGTGTATATGTATAAGGGTTAATACTATATTTAATAAAACAAACTCGTTTTAATTAGCTCAGTAAATTCAACATAGGTTAGCATTTTCGATTAGGCAATGTTATATAAATTTCTTATAATAATCATTCTCCTAAAAAAAAGGACCTTGTTTGGTATCTCGCGTTTCTACTAAGTTTAAATGTGTGACAAGAACATATTCATGCCCGTGAAGATAGTCTTACGTTGTCTCGTTTTGAGCCGATTTAAAAAAAAAACGATTTATACTCAAATATTTTATTAGGAAAAATATTTGGTAATCTTCAAGATTTTTCTCATAAGTGGCACAAAGGGTTGAACATCTATTAACGAAATCTGGAATTTTTTCTGGCTAAAATATCGAGTTAGCCGTTTTTAATATAAGGCCCAGATTGAGCCCCCTTTAACAACACTAGTAGTTCAAAGTCATTTCAGTTATCAAGTTAGTTTGATTTAATCGATAATTCTTCTTTACAATATTTAGCTTGACAAAAAATTTTTTTTGCTAACATGTACATCCCAGCTAAAATTTAGTACATTTAATTTTAAGTTCAAGTTATGGAAAAAATGATCCTTACAGAGATGTGTTCCCAAAAGACTTGGCTCTGGATGACTTAGATGTTGATGATGTATTAAATTTTTTTGAAAGGCAAGATATAGAGGTGTTGTTAAAACGGCCCGATTATAGCCAAAATAATATTATGTAAGCATCAAGATTTAGCAAATTAAGGTCGAAACCATTCTGATATCTATCAACAAAATAATATAAATTTTGAAAAATCTCTAACTGCTCCTTTTTAATAAAAAATGCTACATGAAAGACCTTAACGCTAATATTGCCTGTACTACCGTGAAATCCAAAATACTTTTTGAAAGCTTGGCCAAGGCATTTCAACATTTATGTACGTTGCTTTGGTTATACCTTTTGTAAGGGATGGTACAATTTTCATTATTCTGAATCATTTTGAATGTCATTCTCATTAATTCATGACTCGTAGTCAGTATTCATATAAAATTCTGTATATAGAAGTGGCCAGATGGGGAGGGGCAAGGAAAATCCCCCTCTTCGGAAGATCTTCTGTTCTCGTAAATGTCATTTTAATCTAATTACACCCCCGCCCCTTACATATTACTACTACCCTCTCCACCCAAAATGTATTTAATATATCACACTATACACAAGTATTTGAAAGAAAAATAAGAGAAAAGTTTAAAAAAAAATTTAAATAACGACTATAAATATAAAATTTTTAAAGAAAGAGTCAAAACCCCAAAATTATTTTCATAAAATTTATAAAATAGCCAAAGGCTTACAATTGGTTGAAAGCTACCAATAAAATTTATGGGGCAAAAGTCCACATGATAGTTTTCTACGGCTATGATTCTGTGTCTCTCTGTTATTCATTTATCAATATTGAATATATAAAAAGGCCCGACAGAAACAGATATTTAATCAAAATTTTTAATTAATTTATTACAATATATGTTATCAAAAATAAAATTAATTTATTTGAATATATTTTTAAAAATATGCATGCATGATTATTTATATAATAGTTAGTATTGGTAGTTATCCAAAAAAAATAACTATTACAGTTACAAATTATTTTCGAATGCAACCAATACAGTTACAATTTATTTTCAAATCAAACCATTACAGTTATAATTTTTTTCAAATGTAACTAGTTACAGTTATTTTTTTTGCAGAAATATAACTAGTTATCTCTCGTAATTGTCATTATTTATAAAATGCAAATTGATTATGTCGTGACCCGTCAAATGTAAATTGATTATGTCTTTATTTATAATTGAATGTATTTTTTTTAGTTAATAATTATAAATAGTGATAGTAAATGTTTAAAAATGGATAGAACGAAATGTAATATAATTAAAGTATATATATTTTACTTTGTTAATGTTCTAATTGAATTATTATTAACTTTTCACGTTTGTATTTAAATAAGATAAAAAAATTAAAGTTTTAATTTATTTGTTGTTATAAAGTTTAATAAAAAAATCCTTTAGTTTCTTAATTGACACAACTTGTACGTCAGAATATTACATTACTTTGTAACTAGTTATTATAACAAGAACATGTTTTTTTTTCTTTGTTTGCCTTTGAATCACAATTATTTTATGTTTTTATCTTTTAACGTGTCCTAAGTGTGAACCATTTTTAAGACCCCCCTAAGCCTCATAATCGCCATTTTACAACACAAACCGCAAATAACATATGCTTTATTTAATAATATAAAAATAAATGTATATATTATACAAATGTTTTAAGAAATAAATAATCGTGTTTTCTCGTGGTATATTATTAAAAAAAGCACGGATCAAGGTTAAATTATATAGTCGTTCCATCTTTCATCTCTCTATTTTCCCTTTGTTTACACTTTCCGGAGAATCAATTTAATAGGTTTCTTGCCGGGAAAAATCTTTCCTACTTGGGTATCGGCACATCCTTCCGCGGGCTTTTGTGGCGTTAAACCGGCCGCGCTTATTATGCTGTACAGCGGGAAATCGAGTTTAGCGTCGACTTTTTCATCCTCCGTCGAGGTATGGGGGAGGGAGGCACGAATTTTTTCTTGATCTATGACGTCACAACGGTTTGTAGTGGTATAACTTAGTGTACCAGTATCATGGGCGTTGCCTTGATCATTATTCCCCAAATGATCCATAAATGACATTTGATTCTGTTCCTTTGAGTTTGACTTTTTTTTTCTGTAGACAGAAACATTAGTATCCGCAGAGCTCACGAGGACCAGATTAGGAGCGGCGTTCTTTATTACGTAGCTCTGCAGTGCTATTTTACGTAGCGGCACTGCTACCGTTTCCCGGGTACTTGGTCCAACATTTGCGCATGCACGTATTTCGTTTCGGTTAACGGTTTCGAAAAGATCGTGATCACGGCTACGTAAATTCAAGTTATTTAGCCTAACGTATTTTCCTTTGAAAACAGGAGAAGATAAACAACCTACCGTTTTATCAGTAAAATCTATATTTACGTCATCGTCATAATCGTGGTTTAAGAAGTTAATGCCGATCGTTGGGTCGAGATTTTGGGTTAAATTTGTCGTTATCGGTAAAGGAGAGGTTTCTTCTATTTGACGGAAACATTGCTTGATCATGCGACTTTTAGACTTGGAGCTGAAGTACTTCACTTCGGTTAGCAACTTCTTGAAACTATTTTTAGGGGAGGGGGTCTCGAAAACTACGGTGGCGTTGCGATTATTAATGTCGTCCAAAAGATTGTTGCGATGTTTTGAGGGCGATTTCGGGGCAGTATATTTGCCGCCGAAAAAATTTGGTTTGGGTAAAGGGGCAGTTTGGTCCAACGATCTTTCGGGAGAAAATCTAGAACTCCTTTCTTCGACGAAGGATACGCTTTTCGTGGCACTTTTAATCAGAAGGGGCGACGATTCGAAATTCGATGTTTTGTCGGCCTGGTTGGATGGCGTGCAAGGATTTTTGAGGATCGATTGGTGGAGTTGCTTGAATGGAGGAGTAAGTAACAAAGACGGCGAAACCAGATGGTCCAAATTCGTATCCTGCTCGAACAATTTGGCGCCGAGTTCGGCATTGTAACCTTGTTCGAAAAATTTTAAGACGTTTGCCGGTAAATGCGTATCGGGTTGAGATTTTTGAGGGGTGCTGAATATATCCGGAGATTTTACGGGCCGTTCTAATTGGCAAGATTTGTAACGTTTTAAAGGAAATCTTCCCTCGCGAATATCGTCTCCATTTGAACCAAATAAGCCCCAAGTTTTCGAGGTTCCGGGAGTAAACGTTTTGTGACTTTTAAATGTATCGAATAGGTTCCGCTTTGCCCTATTAGTAGTGGCAACAGTGTCACCGCCGCGACTCGCGGAAGCCGGCTTTAACTTGGGGATATCAACTCTCTCGGCAACATTTTTCGGAAGCGACAAGGGTTTACTGTACATATGTATATACATTAAAAAAAATATATAATTTTTCCCCTAAATCGTGATAGAAAAATAAAGGTCACTTTTACGTTTTCTATATTTTTAAAAACGTGTATGGTCAAAAAAATGTTAATCTATATTACAAAATGTTTAAAGATACTCTTTGTAAACTATAATATATATTTAATTCAATATTGACCTTTTATTTAAGTTTATACAAATACTAAAACCTATAATATTCAAATAATATGGTAATTACAAATCCGATAAGTTACTACATTATAAGATATAACAGTCACTAGTTTAAAAAAAAATAATTCCCGTTTATGATATCGTTATCAGAGATGCGCCGATATATACCGAGATATCACGGATACAAATACCGAGTTATCACGGATACCAAATACCGAGATATCGCGTATTAATTGAAATCCAAATAATTGTGGTTTAGGTCAATTTAAATCATCAACAGGTCAATTTAAATCATCAACTAAAACAATGATTATTATACAAAATGGAACCTCGGGAATAGGTTAAATATATACCCACACCCCCCTATATTCTAGTTACCTACATTAGGAAATGGCTTACCATTTTCGAAGGGCAAACCATGAAAACAACGAATTTCATTCCGAATTTAAAGCCCAAAATTTAAAACCTAAGTGTTTTTCTAAACCATTTTCCATCAAAATAAAGAGTATAATAATCGGATTTACTAAAAGACACTTTACAAATGTATTTAGGTATCAATGCCCGTTAAAAGAGAGAATCTAAATAACGATATAGATACTTTACATTTTACACGTCTAGATTATTTCTAAAAACCCTTTATTAATCTAAATATTTTAACAAACAATCATAAATAGCAATATGAACATTTTTATAAAATAAGTTTACTCGCTTCTCTGGGAGGATGGCACCTTGCCATAATTGACGGACGAAACTTTGAGCCTAAGCTGAAATCCCATACCGAACGATTTCCGCACGCCAGCAGAGGCGGCGGCGCTTTTCGAGCCTAATCTTACCCTCGAGCCGACATTTTTATCGGAAATCGTTTGATTTTGGGAATGGCGGTAGGTTTTGTTCCGGGTCTTCGCGGTTGGGGTCGAAGAGGTTATACCCAGGTCTCGTTTTAAGGTCCCGAAATTCGACATTCTGGCTCTGGTTCGAAATCTAGCACTCTTTTTAAACTGGTCGATTAAAAAACATATGTTATTTTAAATTATTTTATATCTCCGTCTAGCTTAATGGAATTAGTAGCTACGATAAAGATAAAAAACAAAAATTAGTAACAATTTGGGTTGAAATTATATTAGTACACGAATTAGGAGAGAAATTTTATAGCTACATTTGAACTCAGACGGGGCATTAAAAAAAAAGGACTAAAGATTATCAAAAGAATTCAATCTAATTTGAACAACTTTGATATCATCTCTGTTTTCTTAATTTAGGCAAAATTTGGGGCATGCGCTATAGAAACAGGAGTAGCGCGATGAGGTCATTGTCGCTGAATAGTTTACAAAACGAAATAAAATAAAAAAAATTATCATCGAAAGACTAACTAGATCGGGTGATTCATCGATTCCTTCGTTCCGAGGCAGTTTGGGATCGTCGGATCCAAATTTTATGACAGCTGGAACAGGTTGGTGAAAGAAGGAGCACAATTTCAAGACCATTTTTGGCAGAGCTTTAGCGTATCTAAAAGTAATAGTGTTATTTTTATGTTAAATATCAATATATATATAACTCTAACCATAACCCTCGCCTCTAACCATATACAAATATATACTAATTTTAAGGGAGGAGCTACAAGAAGAAAAGGAATATCATCTTTAAAAAAAATAATGAAAGGTTCTAAGTATATTTGATCAAAGAACCTGCAAGCCCGTTCGGAAAAACCGAACCCGAAAAATGATCAAAAGTAAATACGTGGCATAAAAACGAAATTTTTATTTTGACCCAAGGGAGATCTACGAATTTATATATGATTTATTACATCTAAATATTTTATTATTTAAGAATAGGTATTATAAAAAAATTGAGAAATTATACCTCTTGATTATTAGGACATTGGTGAGCTTGACAAAATACCCAGGTTCCGTAGCGAAAACGAAATGGCGCAGTATCGATAAAACCTGAATGATATAACAATGATTAATGATGAAGGGAAGGGGGTAAATTATAAGATCGGGGTCCAATAGGGTTCTCTTCTTGCTCTCGAATTCAAATATCTCGATTAGGATATCAGCAAACTCAATGTACGTGCGCTGATAAATCATAAGGTTTTTGAGTAATGAAGGCAGTGGTTCAGTTTGGATCATTCCATAAGGACTGTTTGGTGCCGTTCACTAAAACATGAATCCAATTTTTATTACAAAAAAAAGAATCAGTTTGTGCCTCAAGGCTAAGTCTGATTTCATATTTTTTTGTGTTTCCAATCCATAACACCCAAGATGACAAATTAATTCCACTAGTTGATGTAGGAAGCTACAAGGAATTTTCTTCTTTCTCCTTATATAAAATATTTGGAAAAAAATAATATGAGCGGGAAATAAACTTCGTTATTCAATTCCTGCAGGGACTGGGTATCGAACAACGCTAGAACTTCGGGATACGTCAACACATCGAATAGAAGGCAAAACTTTGTGAACAATCTATATATTTAAAAATATATACACACACACATAAATATATATATATAATAGTTTTAAGGCTTTAGGGCCGTGTCCTGGTTAGACTCATTTCTAAATAGCCGACGGTTAAGCTAGCTAAATAGTTTAGACTAAATGGCCTAAAAAGTAAGAGGCAATAACCGAACCAAAAAAAGGTAAAAGATTTAATTACTTTAATATCTGCAAACTATTATCGTTTTCCGTTTCCGCCTCGTTCGAATAAGTGCCGAGGAATTTCAAGTCCGAAAGTAGGTGCGTTTGAATCGATTTTAAATCACACTTTTAATGGGGTTTTTTTTAAATTAATTTAAAATATTTATTTAAAACATATATATATGAGAAAACCTCAAGAAAGGAAGTAAAAAATATATAATTTCTGGGTTAACCAAATCCGTGATAAGAAAATATTAAAATAATTTTTTTTTCCGTGATTTAGATTGATAGGTTGTCACACCTTAATCGAAATCTGATTAATTTTTCACTAGTAATAATGTAATTAAGATATAACTGTTCGATAGAAAAAATGACAGTTGTATGTTTAAGCATTTATTACCTATGAAAAGTAAACTGGTAGTGTTAAAACTAAAAAAAAATTATATATTCCAAGAGACAAACGAAAAACAAATAATTTTTTAAATTTCAGAATTAATATATTTTATTATTAAATAAATTTTGCTCTTCATAAATTTTTGGTAACGTTGATTACTAATTATTTGACTACAGAGTAAATACATTCAAAAATGAATATGAATAATGATTTATAAGAATTCATGATCTAAATAATTTACTAATTATAGTTTATACCAATCAGCTAAGAATAGTTAACTTTATTATTTGCACAAATACAAATTTTCCATATTATATTCATTTTTAAATAGGCCTAACGAATATAAAAAACAACTTTTTAAAAAAATATTTAATAATTATGGGACTTTTCTAAATCGAAAATGCTATATATTCATCTGATACCGAATTTATAAATCTTTTCAAATTTGGCTTAACCAAATGGTCTAAAATGCAAGGAAGGGTTTCTAAAATAAACTCGTCAATGTGCAGCAAGTTCAAAGCATTTTCATTTATGTTCGCATCATCACTGATATGCTGCTGAGGGTTCAATAAATTATTAGTCTTAGCATCATCTGGCAATGCCATCATATTTAGATTTTTGGAACTATCTGTAAAATCTTGTGGTTCCAATTGGCAAGAATTTTGATCTAAGTAAATCATATCTTGAGTTTCAGTAATTTCAAAGGCTTTAACTTCCCTTTTAATAATAAATAAAAATAAACTTGATATAAAATATATCTACTGTTGGCCTAAATTATTCGAAAATTCAGTTTTATATTCAGCCTTTATATTATTACTTTTTGGTGATAATTTTAAACCAATTTTCTATATATAAAATATAAACATTAAATATAATTAGTCAAAATTAACCAATATTTTGATGATATTTTTGAGAGTAGGTTCAAAATTGCATTTTTGTAATATACAGGATAAATATTGGACATACACATTACTAACAAAGATATAAGAAAAAAAATATTCAAACAAATTTATATTACCAGATAAATGTACAAATAGGTTTAATATTTTCCTGATTTAATTTATGTTTTAATAAAGCTGATTTTATCATGAGTGATATAAATAATTCAGTATTCATAAATTTGTCCTGAAGCAAATGGTAATAAATTTTAATAACAAAAATCTTATACCTTAATTATTAAATCCTCTAATTTATTTTTATCAAGCATAAGCAATTTTATGTAGATTTCTGCGGTTAACTGAGCATACGTAAATATATACTTCAAAGATGATTGCGAAATAGTATTTAATTTACTAGGGCACAAGTCAATTTTATTGCTTATACGGTCATTTTGTTTGCAAATGTTAGACTCTGGAAAATGATGATTATTTAATAAATATATTTATAAAACCAGTTTCCTTTAAAACAAGCCTGCGTAGACATGGCTTATGTTTTTCATGTTCCCTTTAATTTAAAATAAGTTTAAATTATATTCAAACATACTTACATTATCTTAAATTTAAAAAACGCAGGTAATAAAGGAAACGAATGAATGAATCTTAAAAAATATCATCTGTTTTTTGGTAAATACCTAAAACTTATAGAAATTAACTTGAAAACTTTAAATAAAAAATATATAAGCATTTTTTTTATTCAAAAGTAAGAACATATAAAAGACATATATTTTTAAAAATTTAAAGGTTGAAAAAGTTTTTGTTAAAATTTCTCAATAAAAATATATAGTAGTTTTGATTTTTATAAGCCTTTAGTAAATTTGCCATATACATTCAGTCCATAGACTTTATTAAATTTAAAAATTTGAGACACAAAATATTTATTTGTCTCCAATATTCAAGTGATTTATTATAATTAATTTGTCATATTTCTTCCTTATTAAATTATATTTTACAATATATATGATTATATTTTTTCCAATATATATTATACTAGGTAATTTTTAGGCCATAATATGATAGGTTACACCCTTTGTCTAATTTTATCAAGACCAGGGGCGTCACTAGCCCTTACAATTTTAAGAGGCTCAGGAAAAATGTTTTCTTACATTTATTTTTAGATTTTCAAAAATTTAAAATTTTCCTTTTTAAATTTTTCAGGAGACTCGAGTTCCTGCCTTCTACTCCCTAGAGAAGCCAGGTCAAGACTATTTACGAATGTATTTCTCTAAAAGTAAAATTTTAAAAATATAAGTTTAGAAATTGGTGACAGAGCATTTTAAAATTATTATTTTACTATAAGATTTTAAAGCTTGACCTATGCCTAATATTCAAGTAGTCATGTCTATAAATTGTTACAAAGTTGAACCTGTCATTTTATTTCCTTTAAAACTATGTTTTTTTTCAATCAAAAGCAAGGACTCACACCCAGAACTTTGCGTCAAAATGGGTTATATAAAGAGGTAACATAATTAAATCTGGAGTATGCTACAGGTGATAATATATTCCAGAAATATTATAGGCTCAGAAAGCATTTCAACATCTTGAAACTTTGAATATAAAAATTTTAAACAATGGAAATTAGTGATCTGCAGCGGGCCTAATTTTTCAAGCCCAGCCCGGCCCGAAATTTTTTTTAAAAGTTTTACCAGCCCGGTCCGAACCGAAATTTTTTTAAAAAGTTTTGCCGGCCTGGCCCGAACCTGAAATTTATTTTTAAAAAATTTACCGGCCCGGCCAGGTCCGAATTTATTTAAATGTAGAAATTAATTTTTATAATTACTTAAAATAAATGACATATGTTATAGAGCGTTTAGTTTCAATAAATTAAATCAAAAATTTTTTTTTACATAAAAAATTCAATATAAAATTGATAAATTTAGATATATTTAATAAAATTTCCAAAATCCGACACGACCCGGCCCAAAATTTTTTTAAAAATATTAGACCCGGCCCGCCCGAACCCGATTATTTTAAAGAAAATTAGGCCCGAGCACGGCCCGAAGCTCGTTGGGCCGGGCCGGGCCTAACTTTGCAGATCTCTAATGGGAACTAAATATATTTGGAAAATTTAGTATGCTGTCAATCAAATAGAAATTTACTTAATAACAAAACAACGCTTAAATTTGATCAAAATGCAATAACACTTAATTTATATGGTAACTCATATACCTCCTTTTGATTCCTAGCCCTAGCCTATTCACGTATGTTGATTTCAAACGAAAAGAAACTGTCCCAAACTGAATTCAAACAAGCAGATTATAAGATGCCCGTCTCAAAGTCAGGTAGAAGTTTTGAACTGGGTCGGACATGTTGTTCATAATATATTTACGAGTCGAATATGACAAAATTTGAGCAAAATATATTTTATGTAAAAATAATTACGAACCAGGCCCAGCCAAATAGCCTAAATAATCCACTAGATGGCACGGGAAGATAATCTACGACGTTATCTAATATATTTATAATGTAAAGAAATGAATAACGATCGATGATGAGGTTATCATTAATAGCGATATCTATAATCTTAATCTTATTAAAGCGATAGGTAATTAGCGTGGGAATAGTAAGGAGATATTTTTGTTTTAATCTGGAAAGGAGCATTAACAAATGCTCTCTCTTTCGATTCCCGATTCCTAAAATAAAATTTATTTTTGAAACTTTGCAGAGTTATGTATCAAGATTAAAAAAAATGTGGTGAAAAGTATCTGTATCTTGATAAATTTTTTAATGTATCTGTACATATCAGAGTTGTTAAAAGATACTTTTTTAATAGATCTAGATACAGATACATAGTCTCAAAAGTTATCTAGATACAGATACAGCGTCTAAAAAGTTATCAAGATACAGATACATTTTTTATTATGCTTTTATAGGTTTGCATAAACCTAAATTAATATTATATTGTGAAAATTCATGAAATGAGCTAAAAAATTTATTGACGCGATATAACATTTATCAGAATATAACTAAAATAATGATTTTAATATAATATATGAAAATATATGATTAAATAATTATAAATAATTATTAGATTTCAGTAATAAAATATTTTCAAAATTTTGATCATTTAGGCATCCTCGTTTATCTGTAAAGACATATTTAGCAACACTAAATAGTCTTTCCACAGGGGCGCTTGAAGGAATTGTAGTGTTATATTTAATAAATAACAATTTTATATCAGGGTATTCTTTAAAAATGCTAAAATCTCTACATTCATTTTTGAAAAAATTATTTAAAATTTGTTGATTATCAAAATTTAAATCATTATTAGAAATTATATCTGCTGTAGGGTACTGAAAAAAATCTGAAATTAAATTATTTGTTTTTTTTGGCAGGTTATTTGCTTGCAGTCAGTTGATGACTTTGATAATTCACCAGCTAATCTTTGTATCAATTGTTTTCTTTTATTAAGATTTTCTTCCATTTGCAACCATGTCCAATCAAGTTTAAAAAAAGGGTGGAGCATGGTTGCTATAATATTATCATCTTCAAATAAGGTCACAATAAACCTATAATTATTAAATTTTTTAAATTTATTATATTAATTTACCTATCCTCAATCCCTTTAAGTAAGGCATCTAATAGTGGTAAGCAGAATCTCAGGTTCATTTCTTTAAAATTCTTTAATTTGATAATAAGTTGTGAAATAGTTGCACAGTAATAAGCTGTGTGCATATACTTATCTCCCTGCAAAATATCAAGGGAATTAGCTATTGGCTTCATTAGCTAATTTAAAATAATGCTATATATATAAATATTATTTATAACTTACTAAACAATATTCATGAATAAAATCAC